CCTACACTGTTCGCACGCTTCGCGTGCTCAGCACGTGGTGGTGGCTACACGATTCGCACGCTTCGCGTGCTCAGTGCTCCTGTGGCTGCTTCCGCTAGCTACACGATTAGCACGCTTCGCGTGCTCTGTGCTTCTGCGACCGCTAGCTACACTGTTCGCACGCTTCGCGTGCTCAGGGCAGCGTGACACAAAAACACACGTCACAGGTGCCTCTTCTTTATAAGGAGCGTGACACACACACAGACAAACGTCACAGGTGCCTCTTCTTTAAAGATAAAGATAGTCATAATAAAGTATTTCTGGTGTATAAGAATGATCATTCCTCCATTATCATCAGTATCATCCTCTACTGATGAGCTCCGACAGGGATCGAAACAGCTGTCTAGAGGCGTGGAGCAATATTATCTCTCAACGGAAGTGTCCTTGCTGGTGTCTATATGGTTCGGCTGAAGAGCGCGTGGTTGTGATGAGTTGGGAATGCAATGAATTGAAAATATGGCCGAAAGCTCTGTCGCAATATTTAGTTATAATGTTAGTTTGAAACTCGGATGTTGAGCCATAAATAAATGTGGAAGAGAAAAGGACATATGGATACGAGTTAAGAGTAACTCTCCATCACTGTAACATGATACTATTATTCAGTCAGAAAGTGCAATAACTAGGCACAAAACTGACAGAGTACTGAAACATTCGACGTCCTGACACCTAGCTTCAACACATCTCCGTAGCGCTAACCGACAGCCTTCCAACTTGGAAGGTTCAAGGTTATGGAAAAGACCAAAGAGGGGAAGGCAAGCGCAACGAAAACGAGCAAAAGCTACAGTCCCAACGGAACAAAGAATGTCGATTGTTACTGGACGATGACGAGACCAGTACGATATCTGACAAAGCGGTCTAACTACAATTCGAAGCAGCAAAGCAGCACACCACCCAACTTGGGTGGGTCATAAATATCAAAGATAAGTAAAGAAAGGGAAGCTTTGCGAAAACGAATTGTACAAGCCGAAAGCCAAACTCCTACAGTACTCCTCATGCATGACATTGTGATGGACTAGTTGACTACAAAACAAGTTGTTTCACACGACGTACGTTTCGCCGTATGGTTCGTGACGGCTCATCAGGTGTGCAATTTGAAACTCGGATGTTGAGCCATAAATAAATGTGGAAGAGAAAAGGACATATGGATACGAGTTAAGAGTAACTCTCCATCACTGTAACATGATACTATATACAGTCAGAAAGTGCAATAACTAGGCACAAAACTGACAGAGTACTGAAACATTCTTAACTCGTATCCATATGTCCTTTTCTCTTCCACATTTATTTATGGCTCAACATCCGAGTTTCAAATTGCACACCTGATGAGCCGTCACGAACCATACGGCGAAACGTACGTCGTGTGAAACAACTTGTTTTGTAGTCAACTAGTCCATCACACTGTCATGCATGAGGAGTACTGTAGGAACTTGGCTTTCGGCTTGTACAATTCGTTTTCGCAAAGCTTCCCTTTCTTTACTTATCTTTGATATTTATGACCCACCCAAGTTGGGTGGTGTGCTGCTTTGCTGCTTCGAATTGTAGTTAGACCGCTTTGTCAGATATCGTACTGGTCTCGTCATCGTCCAGTAACAATCGACATTCTTTGTTCCGTTGGGACTGTAGCTTTTGCTCGTTTTCGTTGCGCTTGCCTTCACCTCTTTGGTCTTTTCCATAACCTTGAACCTTTCAAGTTGGAAGGCTGTCGGTTAGCGCTACGGAGATGTGTTGAAGCTAGGTGTCAGGACGTCGAATGTTTCAGTACTCTGTCAGTTTTGTGCCTAGTTATTGCACTTTCTGACTGTATATAGTATCATGTTACAGTGATGGAGAGTTACTCTTAACTCGTATCCATATGTCCTTTTCTCTTCCACATTTATTTATGGCTCAACATCCGAGTTTCAAATTGCACACCTGATGAGCCGTCACGAACCATACGGCGAAACGTACGTCGTGTGAAACAACTTGTTTTGTAGTCAACTAGTCCATCACAATGTCATGCATGAGGAGTACTGTAGGAGTTTGGCTTTCGGCTTGTACAATTCGTTTTCGCAAAGCTTCCCTTTCTTTACTTATCTTTGATATTTATGACCCACCCAAGTTGGGTGGTGTGCTGCTTTGCTGCTTCGAATTGTAGTTAGACCGCTTTGTCAGATATCGTACTGGTCTCGTCATCGTCCAGTAACAATCGACATTCTTTGTTCCGTTGGGACTGTAGCTTTTGCTTGTTTTCGTTGCGCTTGCCTTCCCCTCTTTGGTCTTTTCCATAACCTTGAACCTTCCAAGTTGGAAGGCTGTCGGTTAGCGCTACGGAGATGTGTTGAAGCTAGGTGTCAGGACGTCGAATGTTTCAGTACTCTGTCAGTTTTGTGCCTAGTTATTGCACTTTCTGACTGTATATAGTATCCTGTTACAGTGATGGAGAGTTACTCTTAACTCGTATCCATATGTCCTTTTCTCTTCCACATTTATAATGTTAGTATGGATCTTTATTCCACTCCAAACTGAAAATACATAAATAATCGGAGGTAGTACACTAGCTCACCGGACTTATCATAGCCAAAGGTAAGCAGCACGGAGTAATAATGGGGAAAACAGTAATGTAGAGGGAGAGGGAGGGAGAAAGACGCATGTACCATCACCGGCATTAACGCCCAAAGGTATCATGATAACAGGTAGTGCAAACGGGGAGCACCAGATGTGGGCAAAAAATTGAGGCCGGCAAGGCTCATCACTCGGCACAACCTCCAATGCATGCCCACAGAAAGATCAAGCACGAATAACGACAGAAATGCCACAGTGTTTCGATTACAAACTAAAGCAAATACAATAACACACAGAACATAAGAAGACCACCAGGAACAGCAAAGAGCTCTATGCTGTATCCAAACAGATCGTAGAATGGCCATTGAGCCAAGGATAGCAGCCTGCCGCAGTTCATGAACATGCCTCTCTTCTCCACATAGCTGCTTAATGGAAATAGCCCCTTCCTTCGAAAGGCCACCAAGACCGCCAACTATGATGGGCGTGGCGAACACCGCTTCCCGCTGCCAAATCTGCCTAGTTTCCACTGCGAGGGGCAAGTACTTCGCTCTTTTCTCAGCATGCTTCAATGTTACTCTGTGATCTAGTGACACACTGACGTCAATAAGTTGGACTGACTTGCAATCGTGCCAAACGAGATCCGGCAGATTCGCGCAAACCATCCTGTCTGTAGGAATTGGCATTTCCTACATCAACTTCCGGCCTTGGCAATCCTCGATGTAGTGTGGCAAGTGGCCCGAGGGAGCAGGAGATACCAGTTTGTAGCGACATCATAGTGTCCTGTGGACGACAGCAGCAAGACGATTATGACGAGTAATGTATGCTGTCCGTGCTAACATTTCGGCCACGTAGTCGCCACAGGTTTGAGCACGTGCTCTTCAGGCGAACTCCTGAAGAATCGAGCTGTTGGGTACAGAAATGCATCCACGGCTATTTCGTGTGTCTGGTAAGTTGGTAGTGTGTTTCGTGCATTTTTCGTGGATGCTAACATTAATTTAGTGTAGCGCGCATGGATGACATCTGTTGCCGGAGCGACATAGCTCGACAAAGAGAATTCTGTTGATTTCTATCGACATAATGTCCTCATTCCCACCTGATCTATATTCCTGCAACCAGATAACGTGATGGGCTCAACACATTATTGGTGTTTGGAGCATAGTCATCCGAGTCCTAGAAATCGAATTTTCATTATGAGCTGAGTTTCAAAATATCCTCCTTGCCAGGTCGATGAAGTCGCGCTGAAACCAAACGCTGTGTGGTCAACCAGCCCTGCATTGTCACTGATTAGAGTGTCGACCTTTTGGAGACAAATAGTTGCTCGACAAGAAAATTACAACAAGCAGACTTACGCTCACTTTTCACCGAACCTGAGGAAAACCCACATCACGATGCGTGCTGCGAACTCCGGCAACTCGGGTAAATGTACGCAAAAAATGGTGTTGCCGATCAGCCTTCGTCATCCAGATTTTGATTCTAATCTTGATTGTCGATCAACTCGATCACATCCGTCAATCTGCTTTGTCACGCGTTGGTCGGCGCATGGCCAGTTTCAGGACGCAAAAATATCGTGCTTCGATCGCACAAATCGAGATTTGTTCAATATTTTTTGCACTTCTGCAGAGCTTTGCTGCTAGTGAAATTCGAGTCGTTCAGGGAAGGAAATGGTTGTTGCTTGGAGTGACAAGGGTTTTCAGTTCAAATTTCTTGTCAGACTTGGTAGAGGTGATCACGCTGCAGTGTTTGGCGCGCTGGGGTCGGGAGTGGTGCCTGGTGTTGGAGCTTGAGGAGGCGCTTTCTGTCATCGGGTAGGAAATTGGCAGTGTTGCAATGTGGTGAAGTGAAAATATTCAAATTTGTTTATTTCCAGAAAACGTGGAACACTTTTTACGAGACATGTCCTGGGTGGTAGTGAAGATAGTCCACTGTCCTGCAGTGCATGGTTCAGAAAAATAGACGCCGTAAATGGTTCCTGCTATGGCCCTTGAAATTTGGCTATTTTTGCGATGCAATTTAGTGATATTTGGAGATGATGGCTATTGCTTTCCTGGATGTTGCCATGGCTCTATGTGGTGGTGATGTGAAGACTACTCAGGTGAGGTAATGTTGGTATGGTGGTGGTTTGTTCTCAGCTCAATCGTGTATGCTGTACCAGCGCTCGTTTTTGGACCCAATATTCAGTAGTATTTGGGGCCCATTTCGAGGTGGTCACCAGCTCCAAGGTGTCCGTCAGTTATGCAACGAGTCCTTTTGCATGGTTGTTGTATACCCCAAAGGAAACCTACTTGCAACATTTTGAGCGAAATCGGAGATATGGCCCAGCCCAGCTTTTCTGGTTTTCTCAGCCATGCTCTCTTAAAGATGTTAACACACACTGACCTAAACTAATACAAGGTGTGACAACTGTAACCTCTGTGCTGCAGGTCCTGCTGGCTGGGGCAACATTGCTGGCTTTGAGACGTGCGGCAATGGAACAGAGCAGTCGCCAATCAACATCCCAACAGCCAGCGCAGCATATATGACCTACCCAGCACTCAATGTTATGAGCAGCCCATCTAAAGCCAGCTTTCATTTCCACAACAATGGTGCAGCTGCGGACGCGGACCCGACAGGAGCAACAGCAGTGAACATCACTGGTGGCCCACTAGGTTCAGAGCAATACAGTATCCATAATTTCCACATCCATTTTGGAAACTCTACGTTCATGTCATCCGAGCATTCAGTTGATAGTTCAAGAACAGCTGGTGAGGTGAGAGGGTTGAGCACACACAATATTGCAGATTTAGCCTGCTATTGTTCTTCTTTTCTTTTTACTTTTGGACACAATTTGAAAACGTTTTATGAAACGTCCGTGTTATTTTTCCACGGACCTGTCATAAAACGTTTTCAAACATCTTCCTCCGCCACTGAGTTATTGACATACAGTACCCAGCTAAGATCCGGAATAACACCCTGTACAAGAGGACAAATTCAACACCACTGAGTATCTCATCTCAGTCTTGAGAACCGCCTGGTGTCTGTTTGGGCACATACTGCGGCTGGACCAGAGTGAACTGGCAAACTTGTCAATGTGCTCGTACTTCAAGCCATCCACTGAGGCTACCTGGAGGTTCAGGCCGCGCACAAATCTGCCTGTCATGCTCAGACACTATCTCGAGCTGGTTGGGAAGACTCTCAAGACCTTGGCAGATCGTGAGGAGCTGAGGAATATCGCCCAGAACTGTGGGGCGAGGAGCTACCTCAGCGGCCATATCCTGGGAAGATATGTTACTGCTCACGGATGAACCCTGGCAATGAGCAGCAAATTAAAATTCAACTCGGTTGAGCTGTTCGTTTGCTTGTTTTAATTGTATTCTATTTTCGTCACGCGTTTTATATCAACATCAATATCCTGTCTGACTGTGGTTGCTTCGGCTTATGCGAAAGCTATACATGCTGTGTATATCTACATAACATTGATGCAAACGCGGAGAAGCTCCTAATAATAATAATAAAATAATAGACATTTCATACTTACAATGTGCTTTTTCTAACTCCTTCTCTATAGCTCCACGTCGTATTTTTCAAGTCCACATACTCGACTTTAGGAGAAGCTTTGGACAGTGGAGACGGTGATGCACTGGCCGTCATTAGCATGCTGTTCAATGTAAGTGTGTCTTCAAGCCATGAAGGATACTTAGAAGTTATTGATTGATTTGATTGATTTTTATTTCACGGATCCTCCAGAGGCAAATAGATGCCTATCGAAGGGAGTCTCCTAAGTAAGTATGGAAAAGTATGGAAAATGAGAAAGTTATACATGGTACTGTTGAGGTGACGAACTAAAAAAATCGAGAAAAAAGAAGAAAAAGAATGAAATGTCTGCACCGAAAATACATCTGCTTACAGGTAGAATGTTAAACAGGTCAAACATCACGCACGAATCATTTTGCATGATAGCCTACGGTGCACGGAAACATTTGTATCGGTCTCTAAGCCTTATCTCTTAATTTGGAAAAACAGCGCGTGTTCCTCATTGGAACAACCAACTTCATAACTAAATAAAATAAATAAATTATCGTGTCCGTTCCCGAAGGGAACTCACGACGGCCGCTAACACCCGATAAATCCTAGCGGCAGATGCAGCGCCTAACGGTGGGGGTGAGTGGATAAGTCTCACAACCACTGGCATAGTGACAAGTGCCAAAAACGACCCCATTAGCTGCATCCATGTGCCCCTTGTGCCTGGCCACAAGTTCCCAGTTGACTGTGGGTAGCAGCACGGCTGGAAAAACCACTCCAATCATAACTAATACCGCCAAAAGTGCAACTTCTAAGTTTGTAGTGCTCATAATAAAGTTTTGAATTTTATTTACCCGCACATGATGTGTAGTTGATGATTCATTGCGCTCAGAGAGGTACCCTGGTTTTTTGTGCTTCCTTGCATCATAAGACATGTCTTGTCATCTGAATATCTGTGTTTCATCTGATTGTGGAGAGTAGGTTGGATCAGACGCTTCCAGTGCGCACCCAGGCCTGGAGACGATTTTACGCCATTTCTCCAACTTGACATATCCGGGTGAGTTCTGGGAATAGAGAGATTACATGCCAAGTAAAGTTTTAAGGAATTCTACGCAAATGGGCGGGAAAAGCCCGTAAATTCGGGAGTCAGCAATCCACTTTCGGAAACGTTTCTAGGGAGAGTACATACATGGGGCTTTACCAGCAGACGTGCTCCCTATGTGGATAGGGGTATGCATTAAATAACTCTCTCCCAAGGGGGTACACTGTCACACTTGGAGTTGTCAACGACAGCTACATGGTTCGAAAACTTTGTATGGTATGACACGGATCCGTTTGGAGTGTATGTAAGAGTTTTCGCAGATTGACATCTAACTTAGCTGGATCAGGGAATAACACTGCCTAGTGTTTGCCTTCTTGTATATCGACTTGCACATGTACCGACTTTGCAACTGTTTCAGAGGATGGTGTTGAGCAGTCCATCGACTTCGCCACACTGCTGAGGCCTTCTGACCTCACATCATTCTACACATACAACGGATCACTGACTACCCCAGGGTGTAACGAGCAGGTTGTATGGATGGTCATGAGCCAAGTACAAAATGTCCTACCAACATCAGTACGTGTGTATGGCTAGCTGAATTTTAATTTTTTTTAAATTCACGGTTCGCTGAATGCAGTGTGATAAATTGTAGATGCTGAATACTTGATTCCGTAGATGCTGAAAATTTTTATTCATAAAAACTTGAGGGAATGTAAAAGGGAAAAGTTTCAAGAAAGCCTGATTGTCACCACCAGGACTCGAACCAGGGACTGTTGCTTAAGGCCTGCGATACTCTAAGTACTGAGCTATAGTGTAACTGTAAATGCAGCAGAGACCCGTTTCGAATCTTTGGTGAATGATTTTGTGATTTTATTCAGTATGTCCTACCAGCAGTGGGTTTGTCTGACTGCTTAGCTTTCTGACTACAGTGCACTGTGAAAGATTTCAAACCCCTCTGGAATATTTGTCCACGTTTCATACAGTGATACAAGTATATGCATAGAGTGGAGAATGGTTTACAGTGCCTGCTTTCACATGGCTTGAGTTTTCCGTGTTAAGCACAACATTCCCAAGCCACTTAAAAAAAATTTCCGTTTCCAGGATAACAAAAACTAACTACCAAAGTTCTCCTTCATAATTTTAGTTCTGTCTGCGATGTTCGTTGCAGCTCAATTCTCTATCAGGCCTCCGGAGTACTGCCCGCATGCAGACACCAGTTGTTCCAGTATTTGGTAATGCTCGTCCGCTGCAATCACTCGATAATCGAATGATATACCGAAACTTTCAGGTACATTTCTGAATGTCTTGTACCTTTGTGCATGTAATCGCGTTCTAAGCTCCACCTTTCATACAAAATGAATCATTCAACATCAATTCAAATGCCAAACGAATACAGTCAGCTTCGCGTATAACGACTCTCGAAGGGGTATCAGAAAAGTGTCCTTATACCCGAAGTCTCATTATAATGTATTACATTTAAATGGGTCTTTGCCCTGGGCATGGAAATACTGTCGTTATTCGCGAATTGTCGTTATATCCGCAGTCGTTATTAGCCTTTGTTGACTGTAATACTGTAGATAGAGGGTATTCAGTAGTTTGAAGGACAAGTGCGAGCGGGAAAAGTCTGAAGTAACAATTCTCTGTCACCACCAAGACTCGAACCAGGAACACATGCTTAAGGCCAGTGACGCTCCATAAGAAAGCTTTTGTGTAGCCGTCAACCAAGCAGCGACCATTCCATTCTGACTTCGAAACTCAAGCTTGCTGTGAACCCACACTGGTGGGTGGTATGCAGCCCTCGCTGTAACCCACACACTTCGTGTACGAACTAGCACCCGGGGAGCCCCGACATTATTATAGTATTCTTTAGCGTCCATACAGTATAAAATACACCTATCACATCAAAGTCCCCATTTCAGTTTCCGTACATGGCTCCTGTTCTCATGATTTCATCCAAGAAGGAAGTCAGAAGGGACGAAGGCTGCAATAAGCCCATTGCGTATTACCAAATATGGAAGGTATGAGTAATGCATGTGAGTACGCTGAGATCCGGAATGCACTGTTCAACACGCCAGACGACCATGCCCAGGTGGTTGTCTGGGGTGTTTATGGTACAAATTACGTCATTGCGCAATGGGCTCATACGTTTTGTTAGGTTCACGATTTCACATATGCACGCACTCGCACACTCGTATGCACTTGCACACTCGAACTCACCTTTACAGGCGCGCACTCACTTTCACTCTCGTACTCACCTTTTCAGGCGCGCACTCACTTTCACTCTCGTACTCACCTTTTCGGGCGCGCACTCACTTTCACTCTTGTACTCACCTTTACAGGCGCGAACTCACCTTTTCGGGCGCGCACTCACTTTCACTCTCGTACTCACCTTTTCAGGCGCGAACTTACCTTTACTCTCGTACTCACCTTTACAGGCGCGAACTCACCTTTTCGGGCGCGCACTCACATTCACTCTCGTACTCACCTTTTCAGGCGCGCACTCGACGTACTCACCTTCACAGCCTTGTACTCACCCTTGTTGCTTTTCCTAATCTAATCTTTCTTTGGCCTGGGTAGCTGGACTCGCGCTTTAGCACATTTATCTCCATAGCTACCCAGGCCCTAGATAAGCTCTTGCTGGAACATTTTCCCTCTTCTTGTCTTTCCTTGCCTCCTTCCCTTGCCTTGTCTAGTTAGTCAACCTTACTTTTTCAACCCTACCGCACTCTACTCTGTAGACGCTCTGCTACAATATTCATCATCTACGAAGCACACAGACGAGAAATCAGAATCTTCCCTGGCTGCAAATCACCTGGCACTAGGCTGGCAGTTAAATACTAAGCGATCCAGAGAGGCCAAAACGTGTAGGAATACACAACTGCATCACATCACCCTTTCTTGTATGTGTTTTTAGATGACCCCTAGTCGGAGTCCCCCCACCATCGCCACGTCTTCAGCTTCAGGACCTACTGTTGGTGAGTCTCCATGTTACTATGAGTATGCGTGATCCATGCATATGGAATTGATATGCAGGAATTGAGTACTAGCTGACGAGGCGCTTCAAAATATCAAGGAGAGCGAACAGTAGACTGACAAGAGCAGAAAAAGAAAGTGAAGTAGGAGCGACGTGCTGAAAGGCTTGAAGATGGATTTTTGATTGATTGATTGATTTTTATTTCATGGATCCTCCAGAGGCAAATAGATGCCTATCGAAGGGAGTCTCCTAAGTAAGTATGGAAAATGAGAAAGTATGTTCGTAAGGGAGAAGAGGTAGAAGATACATTAGAATATAGAGTACAGAAGAAGTAAATTCAGTACTTCGGGTAGTACATTGCATGCTAATCATAATGAGAATTAGAAAAGCAGCACTGCGGACTACTATAACTGACATATACACAAACTATTGAAACTATCATAGATGTGGTTAGCCTAGACACAAAAGTCAGGAATACCTTTCAAAGAAAACATAGATTGCGAATGATACCGACGAACAGCAATACTAAATTTCGCTGTTGTGGAGAACGAACGAATATCTTCAGGAAGTTTATTCCTGGATGCTATCATCTATGGTGCACATGGATGTTATCATCTTTGGTACACATGGATGTTATCATCTATGGTGCACATGGATGTTATCATCTATGGTGCACATGGATGTTATCATCTATGGTGCACATGGATGTTATCATCTATGGTGCACATGGATGTTATCATCTATGGTGCACATGGATGTTATCATCTATGGTGCACATGGATGTTATCATCTATGGTGCACATGGATGTTATCATCTATGGTACACATGGATGTTATCATCTATGGTGCACATGGATGTTATCATCTATGGTGCACATGGATGTTATCATCTATGGTGCACATGGATGTTATCATCTATGATGCACATGGATGTTATCATCTATGGTGCACATGGATGTTATCATCTATGGTGCACATGGATGTTATCATCTATGGTGCACATGGATGTTATCATCTATGGTACACATGGATGTTATCATCTATGGTGCACATGGATGTTATCATCTATGGTGCACATGGATGTTATCATCTATGGTGCACATGGATGTTATCATCTATGGTGCACATGGATGTTATCATCTATGGTACACATGGATGTTATCATCTATGGTGCACATGGATGTTATCATCTATGGTGCACATGGATGTTATCATCTATGGTGCACATGGATGTTATCATCTATGGTGCACATGGATGTTATCATCTATGGTGCACATGGATGTTATCATCTATGGTGCACATGGATGTTATCATCTATGGTGCACATGGATGTTATCATCTATGGTGCACATGGATGTTATCATCTATGATGCACATGGATGTTATCATCTATGGTGCACATGGATGTTATCATCTATGGTGCACATGGATGTTATCATCTATGGTGCACATGGATGTTATCATCTATGGTACACATGGATGTTATCATCTATGGTGCACATGGATGTTATCATCTATGGTGCACATGGATGTTATCATCTATGGTGCACATGGATGTTATCATCTATGGTGCACATGGATGTTATCATCTATGGTACACATGGATGTTATCATCTATGGTGCACATGGATGTTATCATCTATGGTGCACATGGATGTTATCATCTATGGTGCACATGGATGTTATCATCTATGGTACACATGGATGTTATCATCTATGGTGCACATGGATGTTATCATCTATGGTGCACATGGATGTTATCATCTATGGTGCACATGGATGTTATCATCTATGGTGCACATGGATGTTATCATCTATGGTACACATGGATGTTATCATCTATGGTGCAGATGGATGTTATCATCTATGGTGCACATGGATGTTATCATCTATGGTGCACATGGCTGTTATCATCTATGGTGCACATGGATGTTATCATCTATGGTACACATGGATGTTATCATCTATGGTGCCCATGGATGTTATCATCTATGGTGCACATGGATGTTATCATCTATGGTGCACATGGATGTTATCATCTATGGTACACATGGATGTTATCATCTATGGTGCACATGGATGTTATCATCTATGGTGCACATGGATGTTATCATCTATGGTACACATGGATGTTATCATCTATGGTGCACATGGATGTTATCATCTATGGTGCACATGGATGTTATCATCTATGGTGCACATGGATGTTATCATCTATGGTACACATGGATGTTATCATCTATGGTACACATGGATGGTATCATCTATGGTGCACATGGATGTTATCATCTATGGTACACATGGATGTTATCATCTATGGTGCACATGGATGTTATCATCTATGGTGCACATGGATGTTATCATCTATGGTGCACATGGATGTTATCATCTATGGTACACATGGATGTTATCATCTATGGTACACATGGATGGTATCATCTATGGTGCACATGGATGTTATCATCTATGGTGCACATGGATGTTATCATCTATGGTGCACATGGATGTTATCATCTATGGTGCACATGGATGTTATCATCTATGGTACACATGGATGTTATCATCTATGGTACACATGGATGGTATCATCTATGGTGCACATGGATGTTATCATCTATGGTGCACATGGATGTTATCATCTATGGTGCACATGGATGTTATCATCTATGGTACACATGGATGTTATCATCTATGGTACACATGGATGGTATCATCTATGGTGCACATGGATGTTAGCATCTATGGTGCACATGGATGTTATCATCTATGGTGCACATGGATGTTATCATCTATGGTACACATGGATGTTATCATCTATGGTGCACATGGATGTTATCATCTATGGTGCACATGGATGTTATCATCTATGGTGCACATGGATGTTATCATCTATGGTGCACATGGATGTTATCATCTATGGTGCACATGGATGTTATCATCTATGGTGCACATGGATGTTATCATCTATGGTGCACATGGATGTTATCATCTATGGTACACATGGATGTTATCATCTATGGTGCACATGGATGTTATCATCTATGGTGCACATGGATGTTATCATCTATGGTGCACATGGATGTTATCATCTATGATACACATGGATGTTATCATCTATGGTGCACATGGATGTTATCATCTATGGTGCACATGGATGTTATCATCTATGGTACACATGGATGTTATCATCTATGGTGCACATGGATGTTATCATCTATGGTGCACATGGATGTTATCATCTATGGTACACATGGATGTTATCATCTATGGTACACATGGATGGTATCATCTATGGTGCACATGGATGTTATCATCTATGGTACACATGGATGTTATCATCTATGGTGCACATGGGTGTTATCATCTATGGTGCACATGGATGTTATCATCTATGGTGCACATGGATGTTATCATCTATGGTACACATGGATGTTATCATCTATGATACACATGGATGGTATCATCTATGGTGCACATGGATGTTATCATCTATGGTGCACATGGATGTTATCATCTATGGTGCACATGGATGTTATCATCTATGGTGCACATGGATGTTATCATCTATGGTACACATGGATGTTATCATCTATGGTGCACATGGATGTTATCATCTATGGTGCACATGGATGTTATCATCTATGGTGCACATGGATGTTATCATCTATGGTGCACATGGATGTTATCATCTATGGTGCACATGGATGTTATCATCTATGGTGCACATGGATGTTATCATCTATGGTACACATGGATGTTATCATCTATGGTGCACATGGATGTTATCATCTATGGTGCACATGGATGTTATCATCTATGGTGCACATGGATGTTATCATCTATGATACACATGGATGTTATCATCTATGGTGCACATGGATGTTATCATCTATGGTGCACATGGATGCTATCATCTATGGTACACATGGATGTTATCATCTATGGTGCACATGGATGTTATCATCTATGGTGCACATGGATGTTATCATCTATGGTGCACATGGATGTTATCATCTATGGTGCACATGGATGTTATCATCTATGGTGCACATGGATGTTATCATCTATGGTGGACATGGATGTTATCATCTATGGTGCACATGGATGTTATCATCTATGGTACACATGGATGTTATCATCTATGGTGCACATGGATGTTATCATCTATGGTGCACATGGATGTTATCATCTATGGTGCACATGGATGTTATCATCTATGATACACATGGATGTTATCATCTATGGTGCACATGGATGTTATCATCTATGGTGCACATGGATGTTATCATCTATGGTACACATGGATGTTATCATCTATGGTGCACATGGATGTTATCATCTATGGTGCACATGGATGTTATCATCTATGGTGCACATGGATGTTATCATCTATGGTACACATGGATGTTATCATCTATGGTACACATGGATGGTATCATCTATGGTGCACATGGATGTTATCATCTATGGTACACATGGATGTTATCATCTATGGTGCACATGGATGTTATCATCTATGGTGCACATGGATGTTATCATCTATGGTGCACATGGATGTTATCATCTATGGTACACATGGATGTTATCATCTATGATACACATGGATGGTATCATCTATGGTGCACATGGATGTTATCATCTATGGTGCACATGGATGTTATCATCTATGGTGCACATGGATGTTATCATCTATGGTGCACATGGATGTTATCATCTATGGTACACATGGATGGTATCATCTATGGTGCACATACACAAAAACTTACTGCCATGTACATGACACACACAAAACACATACAGTGCTGGCAACTGAAATCCGACCCCCCCCCCCCCCCAGCGGTGCGCTAGCCGCGTTAGCGATTCGTACGAGACGCTAGGGGGGTCGGATGTCAGTTGCCAGCACTGTACACCTATGGATACACACACACACACACACACACACACACACACACACACACACATACATGACTGTATGTACCAAACTCTTATTGCTGGATGTATTTTTCGTTAATTTATTATCGTTGCATCCTCTACTAGTCAACAATGAAACCATTTTGCGTTTACTATAATTTTATGTCTTGCAATGATAGTCACACACATGCATGAATGCATACTGGTAGTTGCCTGTTTGTGTTAAAAAGGAGAGACAACAACAGCGACGACGGCAGGAACAACGAGAATGATCACGACAACGATAGCAACATCTGGGATTTTGATGGATCAGTTCATTGACATAGACAAGAGCATAGGGCTTGAAAGTGATGACGTCAAAACGGCTAGAGAGTAGTAAGTTCTACGTTTGGATCCACCAAGGCGTGACTTTGCTATTGCCTACAGTATGTGGGTGCATCACCTTGCTGATCGCCTGTATCACCTTGCTGTGAGTAAGACCGCTCGAAATGTGCTTGGATCCATACAAAAACTGTATGCATGTGGGTCCAGTTTTTGAATTTTTGAAATTGTTGCTATACTGTGACGTAGCACTTTCAAGCCCTGTTAGCAAAACAATACCACATTTATGCATATGCTTGGTTTCACGCTGAAGAGGAAGTATTCAAGATACTGCTCTCAGTGGACGGGCACCGTAGTTGACATCAATTTCTCTTCTCTGCCCCTGTGTCTCCCATACAGTGTCGCTTGTCGCCCTCTTTCTCTCCGTCCTGGCCATCTACGCCAACCTGTTGTGATCACCTACACATCAATATAACTGGATAATGATAGACCCACGCCTGTGGATTGCTGTTTTGTCTCCTTGAACAGTGTACCAACCATCTCTTCAGCGAACACGCTCACAGCAAATTCCCCACCTCCCATTCTAGATTTTTTCCCTATTTATAAGATTTATATCTAGTTTTCTCCCGCCGTCTTGCTCCTCTCCATACTCGTGCCAACTCAGATCCACCTATACATGTGTCTGTGCCCGACCATGGTGCAGGGTGAGAGTAAGACTCACTGAATACATGTAGTACTACACTCCTGTGGTTGGACATTGATCTGGATGCATCATCATATGATTGCCACACCAGTTTCTCATAACATCTTCCCAATCCCCAGCCTGTTCTATTGGACAAGCACTAACAAAGTTTGAAAATCTTTTGCACCGTTATACTCCTATGTATTCGTATCCGATGTTCCGAGCACAGATACTGAAGTAGAAAAGAGTAAAGGTAAGCATAAAGGAAAGCAGCTCGTTTATAATCCAGTGCATGAAGCCTGTAACAGTGAACAAATGGCTGTGGTGTTTTAAATGTTATGGTAGCACAGTCTATTTTGTCGCTTGTATTTGGGTATTCAGCTCGCCATGTTTGTCATTGAGCACTTGTTCACATTGGCCCTGATTGTGACCAAGAGAGAGAGAGAGAGAGAGAGAGAGAGAGAGAGAGAGAGAGAGAGAGAGAGAGAGAGAGAGAGAGAGAGAGAGAGAGAGAGAGAGAGAGAGAGAGAGAGAGAGAGAGAGAGAGAGAGAGAGAGAGAGAGAGAGAGAGAGAGAGAGAGAGAGAGAGAGAGAGAGAGAGAGAGAGAGAGAGAGAGAGAGAGAGAGAGAGAGAGAGAGAGAGAGAGAGAGAGAGAGAGAGAGAGAGAGAGAGAGAGAGAGAGAGAGAGAGAGAGGAGAGAGAGAGAGAGAGAGAGAGAAGGAGAGAGAGAAAGGGAGAGAGAAAGGGAGAAGGGACCATTAGCAAGCCGTGAAACGTCAACGGAACGAGTTCATCAGAACGCACGTGAAACACCGCGTGATTTATGATTAGCTTCTCGCGTTCACAACCCGTGTACGCGAGTCGGCTGCTTTCCAGTTTCAAACAGTTTTCTGTATATTTTTTACTGGCAACGGTTTTTGCGAAATTTGTTTGAGAACAAATAATTCAGTCTAATTGACTTTTACCGGAATACAAGTGACAGAAACCCATGACAGCCACATCGCAGATGGATGGGTGTAGTAAAAGGTTATGTTCACGAGGTCCATGCCAAAAAACTCTCCGAAAGACTTTACAATGCAGCAAATCAGTTGAGAATATTCTAAAAATTAATGTTAGTAATGGTTATGGCACAGGTTATGTCACCTCTACCTGGCCAATACTACGTTCAAGCATCCTGCCAGGAATATTACGACCTGGACTGGCTGGAGGAGAGACAAAGCAGCAGACCAAAAAGTCCCTGTGTACAATCAGATTGATTATTATTATTTGCCGTGAGTCACAGAAACGTCTCTTGAAGAACTGCAGGAGCTACGGCGGGATGGAGACTTACTCAGATCATAGAATTGTAATCGCAAACCTAGAGATACCGAGAGTGTATGGTGTCTTGGGCAGCCAGACGCACAAACGGAGCATAAGCAGACAGCCCAGTGTCAATACACTACGCCTGGCATCAGAGAAAGAAGTACAGCTCGCCTATGCAAAGAAGCTATCAGATGCATTTGCAGAGCCTACTGGGGAGGCAGGAGACGACGTGCAGGAGAACTGGAACGCTATTCAAAAACACATTCACAGTGCAGCAGCAGCAACTGTGGGATACGCCAAGAGAAAAACACACCAAAAATACGATGATGCAGAACTGGAAGCCCTATCGAAGGAGCAGAGGCAGCTGCGCATACAGCTGACATTTGTCACTGACGACAAGAAGAGAGAATCCCTGAAAACCAAACGTAACCGAATTCAACACAAGGTGCGGAAGCTGTGCCTAGACCGTGCCGAGGCAGAACTGGACCTGAAGGCTAAGGAAGTAGAGAAACTGAAGAACGGCGCACAAATGTTCAAGGCAGTTGCCACAATGCGGAGGCGGCCGGCAGTGACCCCGGTAGTGCAGGATCAACACGGCAAACTGGTCGGCAGAGCCCAGGAAGCAGTAGTTATCGTTAAAGAACATTTCCAACGCCAGTTTACAGATGAACATGCTTCAGCCATAGAGCCCTTCATCGGTGAGCCTAGACCACTCGATCGGCCTATCACAACTTCCGAGCTCCGAGATAGCTTCATCATGTACGTGCCTGACAATCAATTTGCCTACCGTACCAACAGCTCGTGTGAGGACTGCCTAGCGCTAGTGGTCGACGAATGGCTCCAAGCCCTTGATAACAACGAGTACTGCGGCATAGTGTTTGCAGATATGAGCAAAGCTTTTGACCGAGTTAAGCATCAAGAGCTCATTGACGAGTTGAAGATGCTTGGCATTGCTGACACTGCACTTGCTTGGTTTGCAAGCTACCTGACCAGACGCGTCCAGCGAGTAAGAGTAGGACAACAGCTAAGTGGGGCCCGCCCTTGCACAAGAGGCGTCCCACAAGGCTCCGTGCTCGGCCCATTGCTATTTTGCATTTACACCCGTGACGCACCACAGTGCTTCCAACATGCATTAAATCAACTCTATGCCGATGATATCACACTCTATATCAGGCACAAGTCCATCCAGATCATCACAACCCAGCTGAGTGCTGACCTTGCCGCTCTGGACCGCTACCTAGATCAGAAGGGATTGGTGTTAAACCCGTCCAAGACTCAGTTTGTCCTGCTCAGGCGACCGAGCACGGAGCTGCCACCTGGCACCGCAGTCAACTGCCGGGGCACTTCCATAGTCCCATCTGCTTACGCTCGGTACTTAGGAATACTGGTTGACGAACATCTGTCTTTCTCAACCCAAGTGGATGCAGTATGTGCAAATGTCAATAGGAAGGTTGGAGCATTTGTCCACGCAAAGCAGAATATCAGCATTTTTGGCAAACGACTTTTCTATTTATCGATCATTCAGTCCACATTTGAGTTTGGCAGCACTGCATATATTCATTGCTTATCACAAGCCCTATATGACAAGCTTCTTACTGCCAGCCGAGTAGCATTAAAGAGAATATTTTCGTTGGATAGAATGACTCCCACCACTCTTCTATACAGTCATACTAACTTGTACGCCCTTGAGAAACGCCTCAACTTCAAAACCTATGTATTTGTTTACCGCTGCCTGAATGGACTTGCTAGTCCTCTTCTGCGAGACCGCTTTACCTTGCGCGCCCATGGTGCTCGCACTGCAGCCACCACCCGTGGCCAAGTCTCTGCTGCTCTTGTTCTGCCCCCCGCTAACACCCGATATGGCTTTAGTGCAATTTCTTATTTGGGCGCTGCCAGGTGGAATACACTTCCACCGGCTTGCCGCATGTCTAGTTCACCAGCTGAATTTCGCTCATCCATCAAATTATACCTAGGGTTCCCTGTAAAAAGGCGCTGACGCCTGTTGGGAATTCCCTAGTAAAAGAAGAATAAATAATAATAAAAAATAATAGCTTCAAGAAACTAGCCCTGTCATACTTGTTCAAGCTGCACTACATTCCAGGGCCTCCCCAGGTAAAGGCCATGCTGCCACCAACCAAGCCCCCTGCCGTAGCTAGCATGTGCACACGGCAAAAACGTCCGACGCACCATGCCTTTCAGCTGAAGTGGACACCCCCTCGCACAGCCCCTGACTACCTCCTGCGATCCTTCCCCTTCTTCGCCATCACACCCTGGAACAACCTGCCTGCGGACCTCCTGCTTCACGAGCCTCATTCAAGACGCCTCCAAACCTTCAAGGTCAACGTATGTAAGGATCTAATCCGAAAGAGATGGCTGTGGTCCACACAGTACCTGTGACGATGATATTGAGACCCATTTAGTATTTACCTCTCTACTAGTACGTGCTTGTTATGATTATTGTTCTCTTTCTTCCTTTTCCCTTCTGGTTTAGTCATTACACGTATTTATATTATTTGGTGCAATACTAGCGCCCCTTTCTCGCACTAAATTATTATTTTTGCTACCTGACCATGCACCCCTCCCCCCCCCCCCTTCTTTTTTCGATGCCAGGTTGCAACGCTAACGCCGAGACCCCTGGTCGGTCGAGTTGCTCCCTGTACATCGGCACGTCGTCCCTACATCCCCTGTGTCTTGTCTTGTGTTTGTCTCCACATGTCTCTTTGTAGGGCTGTGTTCCCAATAAAAAAAAACAAAAAAAACAAAAAAAACTAAACAATGGTAGAGCATGTGGCCCAGATGGCATTGCGGCCGAACTCCTGAAATATGGTGGTGAGAAACTCCTGGAGGCTATGATCCGCCTGTTGAACAGGGTCTTCGAAACCCATCAGCCATTAGACCTCGGCCTAGGCACACTGATTGCTCTTCAAAAACCTAACAAAAAGAAGGGACCACCTGGAAATCTTCGTCCCATAGTGCTTCTAACTGCCCTCAGGAAGGCGGTGTCACTTCTCACCCTGAAACGCATCTCACATAGAGTTAATACCTTTCTCAGTGACAACCAGAGTGGATTCCGGGCAGGACGATCAACGGCAGATGCAGTTTGGTGTCACAAATGGCTTGCAGCAACAGTCCAGAAATATAAGTATGTCATTGAAATTCTCGGTATAGACATGTCAAAAGCATTTGACACCATTCAGCGACACCGACTTCTGGCCGTTTTGGAGACCTTCCTACTTCCGGATGACCTACGTTTGGTAAGGTTGCTCATCGCTAACACGACGCTGAGTGTTCGACTTGGAGGTTTTGAGTCTACCCCTTTCCACACAACAATTGGCACTCCACAGGGAGACTCACTTTCCCCTGTGCTATTTGTAGTCTATCTAGACGCAGCACTGCGCGATGTCCTCGCCACAGCCCCACCTCGCTGTCCTGCAGATAGCACTCTACCAATCGACATCATCTACGCGGACGACACCGATTTTGTCAGTACCTCATCTGCTTGGCTAGCACAGCTTGAACCTCTTGCCGCAACAGTTCTCAGGCAATGGAATCTCCATGTCAACGCAGAGAAGACCGAACACACAAAACTCACCCGGCAGCAGGATCGAGTCTCGGAAGAATGGAGAATGACGAAAAAGTTAGGTTCTCTGATTGGTGACGACGAAGACATCACCAGGCGAAAACAGCTCGCCACAGCGTCCTACAGAGCAATGTACAGTCTTTGGAAGCGGAGAACATTAGTGCGTGAGGAATTGAGACTGAGGCTGTACAACGCATTCGTGATGCCAGTCTTACTGTACAACAGCGGCACCTGGGCACCCACTTCAGTGGCCGAGGCCCAACTGGATTCGTTTCACCGCAGGCAGTTGCGTAGTCTCATCGGTTTTAGGTGGCCACAAACAATAAGCAATGCTGCTCTCTACAAGAGGTGCAAAGCACAACCAATATCTAACTTTGTTCGCCTAGCCAGATGGAGACTCTTTGGCCATATACTGCGCATGCCTGACGGATGTCCTGCTGTGGCGGCTATGATTAACTATTACCAGGTGAAGGAAACAGTGTGGAGGGGACGGCCAAGAACGACTCTGCCTATCGTGCTATCCTGTGACCTGCAGAGAGTGGGGCGGAGGGGACTCAAGACGTTGTCTGATCTCCTCTCCCTCCGGGAGATTGCACAGGGCAGAGGGGAGTGGAAGGACCTTTTCAAGGACGTCTGCAAGTCCAATAGTGGCGTCTACGACTAAAACCAAATAATATTGCTCCGAAATATCACAGTACTGCTTTTCATAACTGCTGCGGTAATAACAATTAACATCTTTTTTAAATACCAACAAAATTCCTCTCTTAACGTAGTGCGTGGATCTGCATCCACCTGCCACCATTTTACTGGATTATTCTCAAAACGGAGTCGACAATGCCCTTTGTCCTGTGTCTGCGTGCTCTGTTCAATCTGAGCAATGCTGTCATGTGCCCCTTAGCAGGTACGTCTTGTATTGTATTTCTATTTCTGTTGTCGTTGCTCTTTTTATTTTTATTTTTCATTTCCCAATTCCCAAGTCCATTCAGCACGTGCGAATTTGTGGGCGGTTTACCATCGCTGACATTGACGCGTATTAAAGTGCATAATAATAATAATAATAATAATGGTTATGCCAAAATCAATGGTTCTACTGGTTGTTTGGTACGTTTCGCCATCAAAATTATTCCAACAAGAATGGATGAAGAATTTGAGAAATTTGAGAAAAATTGCAAAGACAAGAGTCTCGCGATTTACAGTGCTACTCTCCTTATCATGGTTGAAATCGCACGTACTTGACTAAAACCCACTCGTTGCGGTCATGACGAGTAGACCCCTCCGAACTTGTCAAACACAAGTATGTTTCGCGTTGTCACGACGGGACTCTAACCCAGCTCCCCCTTCGCGTTGCCGTTTCAAGGCTTGCTAATGGTCTCTAGAGAGAGGGGGAGAGGGAGAGGGGGGAGAGAGATGGAGAGAGCAATAGAGAGAGCAATTTTTTTCAACGCAACCAAGCCTCTTGTACGGGCAAAATAAACACAATAATTATTACGAGTGCAGCCTCAACAGCACCGGAAGAAAACGAGCAAAATTGGCTGTGAAAACAGTCAAGAGAGCAAAAATGGCTGTGAAAACAGTCTAGTACTACAGTCTAATGTCATAAAATGGCTGTGAATACAGTCTAATGTAAATAATAACAATTGTACTTCCAAATGTACAACTACGATGTACTTAGTACAGTCATGTCAAAAACCGGCCTTGGACACCGAACACAACTGCCTCAGGACCGGATAGCCGCTTCAGCCACCACCCTCACGACAGAGGTGTCCATGGCTGGCAGGGGACGAATCCGCCGTGCGCCCCGCAAACAAGCAATGCTGGATCTCAGCAGGGCAAAAGACAGCCGGCACCGGATCCACGACATGACCTGGCTGTACGGCTCCTTCGTCTTCTCTGAGACTAGAGACGCGACACGCTTGTAAAAGGTGTTGGCGGATTTCCCCATCCCACCACTGGCTGAGAAAACCAATGGCAGGAAGGTGGCATGCTCAATATCCCTGACGCGTTGGCCATAGTGTCGACGTTTATCCTTCTCATGGCGCTGGAACGTGCTGGTGAGTGAGGAGGTCCGATTCGATTGCGCGAAAGTGTTGAAACCCGTACATTTCCTATGTATCCTAAAATATAAAACTAAAGTACTTTAAACTCGTTTGCTTGATGGATATGGATGTAGTGAGCTTCTTCTTGTGATCATAATATCAACAATCTCACTAGCCATTTCACTACAGCCACTGACTCACTGTCTTGTTATCATTCCGATGATTTCTGCCTGCAGCCATTACTACCACATTTGCTTTTGATCCGAGCCACCAAACTTGGAGCTACATCTCCTCATCAAACATTGGTAGGGTTTGTCATGGTGCTGCAGAGTAGTCCATGTTATTCATCCTTTTTCGGCGATATCTTGACAGTGCTAAGTTGAGTTTGCACCAGCTTAGATTATAGGGGTTGTATAGTCGCAGAAAACACCATCAGAAGGTAATTATTGGTGAACAGATTGCTAAAGTCGCATACAGCAGCCATGCTACATACCAACTCAGTATTATAGCGCCTGGATAACGCAACCTACGAGTAGGGTGTCTGCGATGAAAACCGAGGCTGATGAATGAGGGAGATTGGCAACAGCGAAATGCGTCTATTTGGTTGGTACCTCTGCACGGATTACTGGAACGCGAAGGTGCCATGGTGTTATCATTGTATTGTACATTGGGCTTTGTCATCTCGTTCGTTGTATATGTAGGTCCGGCAAGTTGGGGCACGCTTTCTGGCTTCGAGACGTGCGGAACGGGAACGGAGCAGTCTCCCATCAACATCCCAACAGCGAGCACAGAGTACTGTAAATCAACTAATTTTCGCTGTCGATTTAATTTCGCTGATTTCGCCGCTTGGTGCCAACCGGCCAAAGTAAATCGCAGGCTAAAGTTTGTCATAGAGCAAAAGATGCTAGATTGAACCCCAATCGGCCAAAGTTTATTCACGGCCAAATGTTTCATTTCGAGATCGGCCAAAGTTTCTCACCGGCCAAAATTTGTTGATTTACAGTACCAGAGTTACCCTCCGCTGAATGTTCCTGACAGCTCTTCTTCTGCTTACTTTCATTTTGAGAACAATGGAGCAGCGGCAGAGGCAGACCCGGAGGGAACAACGGTAGTGTACTTAACTGGAGGCCCGCTAGGTTCAGAGCGCTACAGGATCCAGAATTTCCACATCCATTTCGGAAACTCAACGTTTGCGGCGTCCGAGCATGCAGTAAATGGTTTAAGAACGGCGGGTGAGGTAAGATGATGCCTACACCAGTTCACGATCATGCTGGGTGATCAGAAACCCTAGTCAAATCAAGTTGGTAATTATCTCTTGGAGTAAAGTTTGCTTTTGATGGCGAATGTTCAGTTGAAAACGCTTTGCGCCTAAACAGAATGATTTTAGGGCCACTCGCTTTTAAAAGTATCTCACGAAATCCTATCTTGTGAATTATTCCCTAAAGCTCCATGTCGTGTTCTTCAAAGCAACCTACCCCAATATCGCGGATGCACTGGCCAGCGGAGACCGTGACGCTCTGGCCGTCATTGGCATGTTGTTCGAAGTAAGTCATATAATAATATTATCGTAATTATCATGAATGGTATGCCCCCTGTTCATGTTTTTTGGTGGAGTTGTCCAAAACCACTTTTACCGGCGAACAAAACACAATTTTCCATGGCGGAGGATTGGAATACAACCCACACAATGCTTTCTTTCCTTCGTCACTTGGAGTTCCGAAGTATTTGTAAATTGTCTAATGCGTACTATCCTCTCCGAGAAGAGTCTTGAAGAAATGTCTGTTGGCTAACAGACGAATAGCTCAGGACAATGAGAGTGGTAATCATGATGTTCCATACTGGTGCGTGATAAATGCTTTTTACCTAGAGAGCCTATCCATCAGCTTTTGTATAATATATGCCACCTGAGCAAAGAAATTTCAAGGCTCTGTTAAAGCGTCGAAAATCAAGCTTCGTGAGAATCCGAGCAGGGTGTTGGTACATAGTCCTTACTCTGTACCATCCCACACAGGGGAAAGTGTGTCCCTAAATATATTCTTATAATTATACTGGTTGCAGAGAAGATCTTTTTTTATTTGCGCATCAGGTTTTACACTTTAGATCTTACATTCAATTTTAACATCGATGGTAAACAGACCGGGGTTCCTTACATTTTCTTTTGTACTTTTGTAACAGGTAGCCGAGTGGTAGGCGCGGTGCAATCAACAAGTTTATTATTATTCTCTCAGGTACACACCTGGGATATAATTATTAGTAAAAGAAGAAGCGGCAAATAAATAATTTTCTCTTCGATGCACACCTAGAGGTTGACTACTTCTTCTTCGAGTTAACTTTGTCGTTGCTATGTAATCTAATATCAAAACAGAAATGCGCAGCCGCTTTTATGCAGCAGACGCCGTACGCTTACATACGGAGATACACTAAATATACATCAGGCAAAGCTCCGTATTAGTTCCGTACTGCTTCCGTATTGGTCGGGCAGGGATACTACACCCTCCCTTCCTACAGATAATCACGCCCTCGTGATTTTCAAAAAATTAGTGAAGAGTTACGAACACAGCGTCAACCGGAAGATGGCAAATTATATCGGAAATGATAACGTTTAGAGTAGAAAATGAACTGATAACAAATCATAACATAGAAGTAAAAGCACACCAGGTTCACACGATTTCTCGGGGTCAAAAGGGAAAGAACGGTCCTCCAAACAGGATGTGAAAGACAGCCAAATTTCTGCACATCGCGGGCTCAAACCGCCAGGAAATTCACAATTTCAAAAAAAATGCACTGCATCGTGGGAACTTACTCCGGTACACACCTGGAGTGTAAAAGGGGATTCTCACACGCTTCTCTCACCAGGTTACTTAGGTAAACCGTGGCTCACCATGATCAGACGCCTACCAAACTAAACTGGATTCACACACTCGCATAAAGGAAGACTGAAGAGAACAGGGAGATTGAAGGAAGACAGGAAAGAAAATGCCATACCTGGAATCAGCGTTAGTAACCACGGCGGCGGCTGGAGCTACGGCGGAGGGCGAGCCAGGTTTTATCTTCATCTTGGTTGAGCCGGTCACTCAGAGCGGCTAGCTCGGCGTCAGGCAAATGACCTCCCTCCTCGTCTTGAATCGTGGTCTTCACATTGTCGATAGCATCGCTTTGCGCGACGTAAAGAGTGATGGTCTAGCCAGGAAGAGTGTTGACGAAAATCTGCATCCCACCACGGAGGCGAAGTACCAAGTGAAGAGTGGGCTCCGGGTTCCGACTGCGTGCCGGCGAAAATCAAACGCTGCTGGTCTTGGGGAATACCCTCCTTGTCTTGGGCAGTAGCCTGCCTGTTGTCGTCCTCATCAGCTTCGCCATCACCACCGGTAGTATACATGTAGGTAGCGGGTCGCTTGGAATCGCCTCGGAGTCTCCACTCCAGTGGATGCCATGCGGAGGGAAGGGTGATCCACGCTAGCACCCTGACTGTGCTGCAAGCTAATTTTTTTTATTTATTTTTTTATTGAAAAACCACAAACCTTCAGACATGTGAATGTGCACATGATATACAGTGTACATACGTATGTATCGAGAAGGCAGCACGGAAACGGCAGTGGTGGTGAGGCCTGGGCAGCTCGTCCGACCGTGGGTCTCGGAGTCAACACTGGGCAGACGCACCGGGGAGGGGGGGGGGGGGGGGTAGCTTAGGAGATAAGGGATGAAGCCAGCATGATCATAGTATGTAATGCATATGCAGAAGTAATAATGATGTTAATCTTAAAAACAATAGTGCGGTGGACCTGCGCAGAGGAAAGGCATCATGGACATGATCTACGTGTATAACATAATAATAATAATATTATAAGTGCATGAGCTAGGGCACATCATACACACACATATGCGCATGTTCAAATAGGAGATCAACCTGATAGGGCGTTCGCCGGCGTTGGGTAATCTTGAAATAAAGATATTGATATTATTGAAGAGATTATTATCTTACGCTCACATAAACACCACATACCAACCATGTGCACCCACCCACACACACACACACGCGCGCGCGCGCACACACACACATGCGCGCGCGCGCACACACACACACACATGCTCGCACGCACACACGCACGCACACGCACACACACACACATACACACACCACACACACACACGCACACACATACACACACCACACACACACCACACATACACACACACACACACACACGTACACACAGACACACACGTGCACATTCACGCAGACACGTAATCATACATAATATTTGTGCACAGACTCACTCTCTCACAGCAACGTCCAGAAAACCACCACGTCGAGTCCCTACAGCCGGTCGGTCGCCCAGTCCCAGTGGCTCGAGCGCAGGAATCGGTGGACGCTGCACTTGAAGGACTGCAACCTCTTCTGGTCGGGCTGATCCAGGAGGTGTTGGCGAGGCAACTGGTTCCAGGTGTCCAGCACTCCTTCAGGGAACGACCGGCGGACGTTGTTGCGAGAATTGGCTGGGATATCAGACTGCAGCTGGTAGCGGTGGCCGGCCGCCATCCGCGCCTGCTGCCTGGTGTTGGCAGGATGTTGGTCGTGGTCTGGTACTGCTTGGGAGGGGGGCAGCATTCGGGTTAGCATCTGTGGGCCTGTCAGGTAGTGGATTTTGTAGAGATAGCAGAGAGCAGCCACTTTGCGCCGGAGTTCGAGGCTTGGCAGATATGCGCCTTCGCCGATCAGATGCAGGGCTCTCCGCTGTACAGCATCGAGTTGGGCCAGCACCGTCTGGGAAGCACCCATCCAGACTAGCATGCCATGCTCTAAGACTGGGCGAACAAAGCCGTTGTAGACGGTGAGACGGCAGCCAGGGTCAAGCACTGCTGAGGCCTTCTTCAGGAAGCCCAGTCGCTGTGTGGCGCGCAGGGCTGACTGTCGAATCTGCTGGCAAAATGTCAGTTGACTGCCGAAGGCTATCCCAAGTAGCTTCAGGCACTGGGTTTTATTATTATTATTATTTGAGGGATTCCCCAAAGGCCGAAGCCCAAATCAAGGGGGTCTCCGAGAATAAATATACGTGTACAATGCGTGTACAATAGGGTGCAATTCTTAAAAGAAAGAAAATATTACGATAAAAAAGATTAATGTGAAGAGGTTAAATAAGAAGTCTGAGTAGAAGCAAGCGAAAAGGGTACTGGTAAAGAAGGGGGGTAATCAGGAAGTGAGAAAACCTCGAGGATGGAATCTATACCTGCGGAAATGGGACTTAACGTGCCGGCTAAATACACCACGGGTTTCAGATATCCTAATCTCGGTAGGCAGGGAGTTCCACGTGGTGATCATGGAATGTAGTAGAGTGGACCGGAAACAGGGACCAGTGTGAGTGGGCAGGAGGTAAAAGTGGGGACGTCGTGCACTCTTGGATAGAACTATGTTGAGATTATTGAGGGTTTCCGGGTATTGGCGGGTGAAATGGTAAAACAGTTTGAGGCAATGTATATGCCGCCGCCACGCAAGACTTTCCCATTCAGCAGCTTCAAACACGTTCTCCATGCCATGAGGAATGGGCACTTTCCGACGGTGTAAATACTGCCTGGCCACGCGTGCTTGCAATCGTTCCAAAGTGTCAATATTTCCTGCGGTCAGTTTGTTAATCCACAGAGGTGAAGCATACTCAATGGAGGGACGGACGTATCCTTTGTAGAGGCGGGCAATGAGAGCAGGGGTCAGATTGGGTGACATGTAGGATAGCAGAACAACGCGACGACGAAAGTTGGAGGTGACACTATTGATGTGGGTCTGGAAAGACAGGCGGGGATCCAGGGTGATTCCTAGATGGCGGTGGGTAGTCGAGGGACATAGGTCTGCAGCATCCACACGCAGTGCTGGGGCAGGAGTCTGGGCGGGGTCAAGTTTGCCGAATACAACACGCACGGATTTAGCGGCATTAAACCTGCCACCAAATGTAGCAGCCCAGTCCATCACTATGTTCACTGCTGACTGGAGCTGTTGAGGTGCTGCTGCTGGCGGTCGGGATAACCCCAGCGCAGTATCATCAGCATAGAGGTATGTTTCCGTCCTGTTGCCATCAGGGATTGATCTCGGGAGGGTATTAATGTACAGGAGAAATAGAATGGGGCCAAGGTGGGAACCTTGAGGAACTCCCGCCGAGATAGGGGCGAGGGGGGAAAGGTCTTCGCCAACTTTGACCTGTAACTTGCGAGCTGCAAGGTAACCTGCAAACCAAGTAGTAGCCGTTGGGTTGCATAGTGGTTGTAGAAGGGCCAGAAGGGTAGAATGCGGGACGCGATCAAATGCCTTGGCAAAATCCAAGAAGACGTTTCAGGAACGATTTCACATTGGAATGTGACCGGAGGGCAGTCCCAGGGCCGACGGTGGTGGCTGACGTGGAGTAGGTATGACTTGGCGGGCTCGAATGTCACTCGCCAGGTCGCACCCCAGGCAGCAAGGGCATTGACGGCGGTCTGGAGATCATCACAGTCAGCTGCGAGGTTGCCGAGATACCGGATACATTTGTAGAGCGTTGTGTCGTCTGCGTACGTGGCAAGGCTGGTCGATTGGGGAAGGTGGTCCTCAGCGTCATTAATGTAGATCAAGAAGAGAGTGGGCCCCAGGATGCTTCCTTGAGGCACACCTGCTCGGATGGCGTGTGTGGCTGATGTTTGTCCACCAACTACGGCCCGGATCTGGCGGCTCTCTAGGTAGCTTTTCAACCATGAGAGCAGGTGGCCAGTCAGCCCAAGGCATCTGGCCTTGTGAACTACACCGCGGTGCGACACTTTGTCAAATGCGCCGGCCACGTCGACAGCAAGGACTCGGGTCACACCCCCAGCATTGGACGTCCGACTCCACTCATGCTGAAGTGAGAGGAGAAGATCAGTCGTGCCCAGGCCGCGTCGGAACCCGAATTGCCGTCCGGAGAGGACCTGATTGCTTTCCAGGAAGTTAGTGATGCTGCGATTGATGATGGCCTCCATCACCCTAGAGAGTATAGAGAGGAGGGAAATCGGACGGTAGTTCTTCGGGGTAGACTTGGAGCCTTTCTTGAAAATAGGGACAACGTTCGCGATCTTCCAGGATGCAGGTTGCACCCCGTCCCGGAAGCACTGGGTGAATAGCTTTGCCAGAGGGCTGGCGAGTGACTGCGCTGACTTCCTGAGCACTTGCGCCGGAATGCCGTCAGGGCCAGTTG